GCGTGGTAATTCCACGCGTGGTAATTCGACGCGTGGTAATTCCACGCGTGGTAATTCGACGCGTGGTAATTCCACGCGTGGTAATTCGACGCGTGGTAATTCCACGCGTGGTAATTCGACGCGTGGTAATTCCACGCGTGGTAATTCGACGCGTGGTAATTCCACGCGTGGTAATTCGACGCGTGGTAATTCCACGCGTGGTAATTCGACGCGTGGTAATTCCACGCGTGGTAATTCGACGCGTGGTAATTCCACGCGTGGTAATTCGACGCGTGGTAATTCCACGCGTGGTAATTCGACGCGTGGTAATTCCACGCGTGGTAATTCGACGCGTGGTAATTCCACGCGTGGTAATTCGACGCGTGGTAATTCCACGCGTGGTAATTCGACGCGTGGTAATTCCACGCGTGGTAATTCGACGCGTGGTAATTCCACGCGTGGTAATTCGACGCGTGGTAATTCCACGCGTGGTAATTCGACGCGTGGTAATTCCACGCGTGGTAATTCGACGCGTGGTAATTCCACGCGTGGTAATTCGACGCGTGGTAATTCCACGCGTGGTAATTCGACGCGTGGTAATTCCACGCGTGGTAATTCGACGCGTGGTAATTCCACGCGTGGTAATTCGACGCGTGGTAATTCCACGCGTGGTAATTCGACGCGTGGTAATTCCACGCGTGGTAATTCGACGCGTGGTAATTCCACGCGTGGTAATTCGACGCGTGGTAATTCCACGCGTGGTAATTCGACGCGTGGTAATTCCACGCGTGGTAATTCGACGCGTGGTAATTCCACGCGTGGTAATTCGACGCGTGGTAATTCCACGCGTGGTAATTCGACGCGTGGTAATTCCACGCGTGGTAATTCGACGCGTGGTAATTCCACGCGTGGTAATTCGATGCGTGGTAATTCGACACGTAGTAATTCCACGCGTGGTAATTCGATGCGTGGTAATTCGACGCGTGGTAATTCAATGCGTGGTAATTTGGCACGTGGTAATAAGTTGCTTATTAACCCCTATATTTCTAAAATCTCCAAACTCATTAATCCCTGTGTTCCCAGAACCCCCATATCCATTGATTTATCCTAAACCTCTTTATTCATTGATCTTCACCCAAGATAACCCGTTTGATCGTTAAATTACCATTCTCAAGAAACATTTCTACTAATTTCTGAGAGATCTCAAAAATCGTTAGCTTTACGGGACGTAATCTCCAAAGTCGTAATTTATCGACTCATCGTAAACCGCTTCCGTAACCACGATGGATTTTAATCTATTCGCGAATCTCTGGCCCGCCGGTTTCGAGGGTAACGAGGGTGTTGCGTGTTCACGTGCGTGTAGAAGAGGGTGCTATCAAGATGGGGCGTGTTCCTGGCCCGATAAACTCGGGAATATTCTCGCGGAAATCGTCGAGATTCATTGCCGACACCTTTCGACCGATAGGCCAGAATTAACCCTTCGGGTAAGATCTCTGGTCGCGGACTTCGCGGTCTTCTGACACGAAAACACACGAGAACGGAGGATCGAGAGAAACGAGAAAATTTGATTTTCACAGGTTTTTAAATTTCTAAATGTTCAAACTTATGAATTCAAAAATTGTCAAAATTTACAAATTTACAAAATTCTAAATTGTGAAATATGAACGAAACGATCGGTCGTATTAAATATACACTCAGACGATGATACCTTGAAATTTGTTCCACGTTAATTTCACGAGATCACCGAAGCCATACTAACCCCTAGGAAGCAGAAACTAGCGAATCGAGACATCGTTCCAATATCGATATCGCGTTAAGCAACTGAAGATCGAACTTCCAATAACGAAATTGTCGCGTCAAAGACGACCACCGCCTGTTGCTAGGCGATGATCAGACCCCGACGTTCCTAAGGAGTTTAGTTTTCTCACGATTTTGCGACACCATTGCCAATCAGCGGGAAAATCTCGATCGAAATCGTCCTCCTCTCGAGATAATCCGATTCCGTCGGGAGAGATTACGTTTTCCACTGGACTATTACTATTTCCGTGATTAATGCGTGTTTCGTACGATCGTTAAACGTCGATCGAATTAAACGCTCGGAAAAGGTAACAAACGATTCTCAAGATGACATAAATCTTGGCGGTTGTTAGCGGCAGGAGGGAGCGTCATAAAACGAGCATCCGATCTGCATAATTCTTAGGACTCTCTGCTCGTTTTTCTTCTTTGATTTTGCAAGTTCGAGAATTTGGAAATTCTAGGAACTTGGAATCTAGGGACTTGAAAACGTAAAAATTGAAAAAAAACCCTTCGAGAAATCTGAAAATTCGAGAGGGAACAAATTAAAAAGAATTCACCATTGACGAAGTCCGAATCTCCCTACATTGCAATCTCCATTTCAATTAAATCGTTGCAAACGATACTGTTTGTCGCAGCACAAATTAATATCAACCGATACCTTTTATTCCCGTGAAATTCGACGTCCGGTTTAAAGCACTAATGAAGTTCGACCGACTCCACGTGGAAAGAAGAATGGAAGAAGAAAAAGAAAGAATCCGAAGAAAAGTTGTGACGTAACGATCGATACACTACGTTAAATTGCTCGGGAAAGGACGATATCTGACCTCGCGATTTCATTTCGCTCTCAGCTTCGCCCGTATTTACCAATTTTTACGAGATTGATTTTAAATTTCACTACGAGGCTTGTATAAAGAGCACTGTTTGGAGAATAATATGATTAACCCGTTTTTACACTTGACGTACTTACTTCTTTCTTTTGTTTCCCTTTTTTTATCGACTCCATTAACGTTGACGCAATATTTGCTGAAAATTCATTTCCGCGTACCTTTGTGCACTGTTATTGCTGTTACTAGCATTCTTCTGCCAATCAGAGGAAAAAGAACGAAAGCGGAATGCGTTATTACTTTTTCATTGAATTCATTTTTATAATTTATCACGCGTTCAAGATTAAATATAAAAATTTATATACATAATTTATATATTTATATACTAATATTATACTAATACTTAATAGTTTAGAATCCATCGAGTCCCTCTCTCTCTATATCGCCACCCCAAAAGAAACCTATCTCTCATCACACTTCACCAACCCAGCAGAAATAGAAAAGAAAATATCTCCCAAACAAGTTAATTTCCGTCCTCGATGGAAAAATTACCGTCACTTTATTGACGAAACTTTCCTGAACGCAAAACATCACGGAGCAATATTTGAATGAGAAGACAAGAAAACAGCGATATATAAATACACGTCACTTATCAAAATTTACAAAGTAATCGAGACTGTCATTGTTGTTCAAGCCGCGTAGTAGCGAAGGCTACAAACTAATGTTTCAACAAGTGTTCCGTCGACTTTCATATCGTAAACAACAATTACAAAGCTTGATATAGGTATTGTATATATTGTACGCAGGTTTGAAAATCGAAGGAGATTGCGATACACGAGGTTGGAAAAAAGAGGGTGAACCGAGGGTAGGGATGAAAAATCTTTTCGAAGGGCAGAGAAAGCTCTGAGAGTATTTTCTGCTTTCATGCTTCTTTTCCGAGCGGAAAAAGGACTATTGTCCGATTTCGAGAACACCTCGTCGAGAAACAATTTATCGAACCGTCTTGGTCGAATTATTTCTTTTCGTTTGGTTGCATAACCACAGAGAAGAATTTCTTTAAAATGAAGACTTTAAATGAAGCTACCTTTGAATTTTAGCTAATTTGTAATTTGTAGAATACTTTAATATGTATGTACATAGGATTGTTTTTGAAGAAGATGTACCTTCAAGTATAAAAGGAACGCACAGTTTTAAATTTACAAAAATTATTTCTGAGATACTGAATGATTGTGGAAGAATGTGCTAAAAATTACTCGAAGAAGAATTAACAAAAATAACATTACTATAAGTTAATTTGTAGTTCAAGTACAATAATTCTCACAGTCAACCTTGACCAAAATACTATATACCAAATGGACATAAAATTTCAACTCTCTTGCTAATCACTCATAATTCCATGCATGGCAATTCGACGCGTGGTAATTCCACGCGTAGTAATTCGACGCGTGGTAATTCCACGCGTAGTAATTCGACGCGTGGTAATTCCACGCGTAGTAATTCGACGCGTGGTAATTCCACGCGTAGTAATTCGACGCGTGGTAATTCCACGCGTAGTAATTCGACGCGTGGTAATTCCACGCGTAGTAATTCGACGCGTGGTAATTCCACGCGTAGTAATTCGACGCGTGGTAATTCCACGCGTAGTAATTCGACGCGTGGTAATTCCACGCGTAGTAATTCGACGCGTGGTAATTCCACGCGTAGTAATTCGACGCGTGGTAATTCCACGCGTAGTAATTCGACGCGTGGTAATTCCACGCGTAGTAATTCGACGCGTGGTAATTCCACGCGTAGTAATTCGACGCGTGGTAATTCCACGCGTAGTAATTCGACGCGTGGTAATTCGATGCATAGTAATTCCACGCGTGGTAATTCGATGCGTAGTATTTCCACGCGTGGTAATTCGACGCGTGGTAATTCGACGCGTGGTATTTCGATGTGTGGTAATTCGATGCATGGTAATTCGACGCGTAGGAATTCGACGCGTGGTAATTCGACGCCTGGTATTTCGATGTGTGGTAATTCGATGCATGGTAATTCGACGCGTAGGAATTCGACGCGTGGTAAACGGTAATTCGATGCGTAGTAATTCGGACGCGTGGTAATTCGATGCGTAGTACTTCCACGCGTGGTAATTCGATACGTGGTATTTCCACGCGTGGTAATTCGACGCGTGGTAATTCGATGCCTAGTAATTCGACGCGTGGTAATTCGACGCGTGGTATTTCGTTGCGTGGTAATTCCATGCCTAGTAATTCAACGCGTGGTAATTCGATTGCGTAGTAATTCCACGCATGGTAATTCAACACGTAAAACCACTCGTAAAACACTGAATTAATTCCCATGCAAGGTGTTAACGAAATAAGTGAAGAACGAGAACGGAATATTGAATTGTTTCAGATAATTGGAAGAAAAGAAAAATGACCGAGGGACAACCATCTTACAAACTGATCTACTTTAACGCCCGCGGTCGTGCCGAGCATATTCGCTACATATTTGCATACGCAGGAATCGATTATGTCGACGAGAGAATTTCCAAGGAACGTTGGCCGGAATTGAAGAAATGTGAGTACGCGGCGTCCATTTTGTACTGAAGCGTTTAAACGATTCTTATCGAGGTTGGATCAATATTTTGGATCTACAGGTGTTACCAAAAATTGCTCTCGATTTTGTTAATTGCTCGTGATGTGTCTCGAATGAACAATGATCTATTTTTGTTTGATCAGTTGCTCGGGGGTTTGGAATGATAACATGCGTGGTGTTCGAAAATTATTGTTCTGTTTTTTGATGCGGGTGTTGGGTGAACGAGGTCTTTGATAGATGGAAAGTTAGAGAAGGTTATTGTACATCTTTATCATTTGCAGTTATATTTTTAGTAGTAAAATTTGCTGTTTATAGTAGCAAAATTTTTAATACTTCTTACTACTTATAGTAACAAGTTTAGTACTAAAATTTTAGTACTACTTATAATACTAAATTTGTTAATAGTTGCAATCGTAACAATTACGTGATGCACCTTCGTCAATTAATAATTCATAAAACGAACGACAGCCATAATCACCAAACTAGCGTAAATAAATACATCAAGCAGGTAAATATCCCGGTAAAATTCTTGAAAACCTTCGTCATACTTTATGATAATTCCACTAAGATAGTTGTAATTTAATAACATACTATGTTGTTAAGGACAGAGATAATTATTGAATAAGGTGAATGGGCAATTGGCTGATTTTCCTCTTCACAGTTTTTAGAACGTTAAAAACCCTCATAGTTTATGATAATTTTGCGATAATATTTATCAGTCATTTTACAAAATAAGAATAGGCCATGATTGTTGTCGACTGTTTCACCGAACAATTTGCGCAAACGTAGTACCTTGGTATTTAACGCAACGTATTTAGTGATTTGTGTTGTATCGAAGGACGATCATAATTATCCTGGCCTGAATAGTCGACCGAGTACTTTTCATTCAACGTACCGGGTGGTTTTCCTAAAAATAACCTTGACATTTTTTTAAGTATTCGTCCCTCAATACCAATCAAATTGCGTATAGAATATTTCGTATCGTTTGTATTAACCAATAAAGGACTGCAATATAGCACAACTATTACCTGACTTTAACACATGGAAGACATACTGCTATTTTACAATAAATTTCTAAAAATCATCAGTGAATTTCTCAGTGATTCTAATTAAATTAATTTTATATACAGTACATTAACTCTACTAACAGTTAAACCAGTAAAAAATGTTGAATGAGTCTAACCAGATGATGATTAAAGTAGATATTCGGATCGTTAGCTTCACACGAATCACCCTGTACATTTTCCGTAAAAAAAGAAAAGCGGAGGGTGTTTCGTTAGTAGGACGCGTTGATTAAAACCGGCATAATTTCGCCCGGGCTATTCACGGCTCGTGGCTCAACTTATATACGTACAGTCAAGAGCAAATCTGGCTCCCCTATGAAAAATACAACCAAGGGAAATTCAGCTAGTCAATTTCTAGGGATTTTCCAAAATTTAAGAACTTGCAAACGTGGTAACAAATTGGAGCCACAAGAATTTGGAATCGGGGAATTTAGGGATCTAGGGATTTGGGATTTGGGGGATTTGGGGGATTTGGGGGGTTTGGGGGATTTGAGATGAGGGATTTGGGGGATATTGGGGATTTGGGGGATTTGAGATGAGGGATTTGGGGGATTTTGGGGATTTGGGGGATTTGAGATGAGGGATTTGGAAATTCCGAGATCTTTTAGGAAATGTAGGGATTTGAGGATGCAGAGATTTGGGGGTCTTCATAATCTGGGGTATGAAGGTTTAGGGATTTAGATATTTGGGGATCGAGGTATTTGAGGATCTAGGGATTTGGATTCTAAGAATTTAGAAATGCAGGGATCTGGAACTGTAGAGATTCGGTACTCTAGAGGTTTGGAGATGATCTAAATTTGATTTGAGGATTTGATCTGATTTGATGATCTAAAGATTTGAGGATCTAGGGACCTGACAATGTAAATCCTTGGAGACATACATATTTTGAGATCTACAAAATTTGAAGATCTAGAGATCCATATACCTAGAGTCTCGAAGCTCTACTTATTTGAAGGTACAGTATATGTCCACAAAACAGTCCCAGGAAGTTGTGGACCTAGAAATTTACACACATACTTCTATGGCTTGGAATTCGGTGGTCCAAGAGTTCCCTGATGAGCAGCACCAGAACTTAGATACTTGGAAATCCAGGAATGTAGGAGACTCGAACCTATAACTTCAAAGTTCGCTATACTTAAGTTGCGTATATTAATCTATGCTGCGTCTGACTGTACATAGATATTTCGGCGCGGCCGCAATTTTCCATCGATCGAGTCTGTTCGAAGCTAACAGCATTTGTTCTTAGCGATGCCTTATGGAATGCTGCCTGTGCTGGAGATAGACGGGAAACCGATATCGCAGAGCAACGCCGTGGCAAGATATTTGGCGAGGAAACACAATCTAACAGGAAGGGACGAATGGGAAGCGATGCAGTGCGACGTTCTCGTCGATACTCTTGGGGACCTCAAGCAATGTGAGCGATCAGAATGCGAATCGATGTTCCCTTTATTTGCTTCGTTTCTGAACCGCGTCGTCTCTATTTCTTCCCTAGTTCTATTGTTTAGTAACTTTCCTCTGCTTCTCAGTCGCTAAACAAGCGGAATAAAAACGACGCGTTACTCGATAGGAAGATCTCGGGATGCGATAACGTTGCTGATTTTCAATTACGAAATGCATGATTGTGTAACCTCGGTTCGTTTGCATAATGCGTTGACTATCGCAACAAAAAAAAAAATTACGAGCTTCATTTCTAATTCCGTGCATGCATTCCCCTGTCGCTCGCGAGATATGTATGAATTAAAAACAAGGAAAAAAACAATTGAAATTGTTCCCAGCGATGTCCATAAGGTAGAAAAAGGAAATGATCGCTGCGGGTATCATTTGCGATTAAAACGTCGATTTGCGCATAGATTTCCACGGTTTTGCGCGAATGCGTCTCTTTTTCCGTTCGCTTTTTTCTGTTTCCTTCTAGTCTCTCTTTTTTTCGCCGTTCCTACAACTCTTCGTTATTTCCGTTTCGCTTTAATCCGTCGATGATTCACGATTCGATGCACCTGAACAGCTGATGAGGGATTTGGGGGATTTGGGAGATTTGAGATGAGAGATTTGGGGGATTTGAGATGTGGGATTTGGGGGATTTGGGGGATTTGGGGGGTTTGAGATGAGGGATTTGGGGGATTTGAGATGAGGGATTTGGAAATTCCGAGATCTTTTAGGAAATGTAGGGATTTGAGGATGCAGAGATTTGGGGGTCTTCATAATCTGGGGTATGAAGGTTTAGGGATTTAGATATTTGGGGATCGAGGTATTTGAGGATCTAGGGATTTGGATTCTAAGAATTTAGAAATGCAGGGATCTGGAACTGTAGAGATTCGGTACTCTAGAGGTTTGGAGATGATCTAAATTTGATTTGAGGATTTGATCTGATTTGATGATCTAAAGATTTGAGGATCTAGGGACCTGACAATGTAAATCCTTGGAGACATACATATTTTGAGATCTACAAAATTTGAAGATCTAGAGATCCATATACCTAGAGTCTCGAAGCTCTACTTATTTGAAGGTACAGTATATGTCCACAAAACAGTCCCAGGAAGTTGTGGACCTAGAAATTTACACACATACTTCTATGGCTTGGAATTCGGTGGTCCAAGAGTTCCCTGATGAGCAGCACCAGAACTTAGATACTTGGAAATCCAGGAATGTAGGAGACTCGAACCTATAACTTCAAAGTTCGCTATACTTAAGTTGCGTATATTAATCTATGCTGCGTCTGACTGTACATAGATATTTCGGCGCGGCCGCAATTTTCCATCGATCGAGTCTGTTCGAAGCTAACAGCATTTGTTCTTAGCGATGCCTTATGGAATGCTGCCTGTGCTGGAGATAGACGGGAAACCGATATCGCAGAGCAACGCCGTGGCAAGATATTTGGCGAGGAAACACAATCTAACAGGAAGGGACGAATGGGAAGCGATGCAGTGCGACGTTCTCGTCGATACTCTTGGGGACCTCAAGCAATGTGAGCGATCAGAATGCGAATCGATGTTCCCTTTATTTGCTTCGTTTCTGAACCGCGTCGTCTCTATTTCTTCCCTAGTTCTATTGTTTAGTAACTTTCCTCTGCTTCTCAGTCGCTAAACAAGCGGAATAAAAACGACGCGTTACTCGATAGGAAGATCTCGGGATGCGATAACGTTGCTGATTTTCAATTACGAAATGCATGATTGTGTAACCTCGGTTCGTTTGCATAATGCGTTGACTATCGCAACAAAAAAAAAAATTACGAGCTTCATTTCTAATTCCGTGCATGCATTCCCCTGTCGCTCGCGAGATATGTATGAATTAAAAACAAGGAAAAAAACAATTGAAATTGTTCCCAGCGATGTCCATAAGGTAGAAAAAGGAAATGATCGCTGCGGGTATCATTTGCGATTAAAACGTCGATTTGCGCATAGATTTCCACGGTTTTGCGCGAATGCGTCTCTTTTTCCGTTCGCTTTTTTCTGTTTCCTTCTAGTCTCTCTTTTTTTCGCCGTTCCTACAACTCTTCGTTATTTCCGTTTCGCTTTAATCCGTCGATGATTCACGATTCGATGCACCTGAACAGCTGGAACATCGCAGATTTTCTTCGAGCTATAATGATGCATGTTTTTGATAGCCCGTTTAACCGTGACCATTACCATAACGAGCGTCAATAAGAAACCATGGCATAATTCGATGACGCGCCTACGCGATTTCGTATTTTCCTCGTTGCTTTTTATTCTTCGTATTCGAAACGTAATAAGGACTAAACTGCTATTATTCGCGAGTATATGTGTATCATCGTGTTGATCATTATTATATGAACAGTTACGTATATTAAAAATTAACTAGTTTAAACTTGAGCCTTCAGTTTCTTATTTCACATTATTGCAATTTTAGTGACATTCGGAATCGGTCTATTGCTGTCAATTTAAAAATATTTAACCGATAGACTCTGGTTATATTGCCACTTTTACATGGAATTTCGCGTTATATCGCCGCAAACTGTATATCACCACGTTTTATATCGCTACGCGTTGTATGTTGCCCCGCGTTATATCGCTGAGAAGTTGTATATTGCCTCGCATTATATTGCCGCGAGTTATATATCGCCATGTGTTATATCGCCACGCGTTGTATGTTGCCTCGCGTTATATCGCCATGCGTTGAATGTTGCTTCGCGCTATATATCGCCACGCGTTATATCGCCACGCGTTGAATGTTGCTTCGCGTTATATCGCCACGCGTTGAATGTTGCCTCGCGTTATATAGCCACGCGTTGAATGTTGCCTCGCGTTATATCGCCACGCGTCGTATGTTGCCTTGCGTTATATCGCCGCGAGTTGTATATTGCCTCGCGTTATATTGCCGCGAGTCATATATCGCCACGCGTTGTATGTTGCCTCGCGTTATATCGCCACGCGT